CCGCCCGCCCGGGTGTGATCTGCTTTTGGTGCTATTCCGAGTGGTATTTATTTGCTGCGTTTTGCTGCCCCGTCCTTAGCTGAGAGAGTTCATGTCTAGACTGGGGGCCGCGGGCAGCCCAGGCAAAGGGGGCGGGACTGCTGTCCCCTCCTTGGCCCGGCACGTTCCTGAGGACAGGGCAGCCGGCGCCCAGCCTGCTGAGGGCCCTGGACTGCCGGCCGCACCGCCGCCTCAGGCAGCATTTGGGCTCAGGCCGGACGGCCCATCGCACGCTGCCCTGGCGCTGCCCTCGGAACTCTGAGGGGAACAGCGTCTCCTGCGCCGGCTCACTTCTGCCCCCTCGCTGCGGCCTCTGCGGAGGCTCAGGAGGGCAGCCTGCGGCCTGACGTCAGGAGAAGGACCCGGGGCGTCTCTCAGGCCCACGGGGGCGGGCTCACTGTGGCCTTGCCCCGCGCCGCGGATTCATTCGCGGTGGCTGCACTGACCGCACGGGGGTGTGAGCCTCGTGACCGCACGCGGGCCAGGGAGCCCGGGCGTCTGGCTGCGGCGTGGAGATGGCGGGAGCGGCCTGAGGGCGCCTCCCGTGCCGCCTTCCTCTGGCCGCCCGGGGCAGGGAAGCTGGGACATTAAACATTCAGCCCTGTGCGCGTTTTAGTCGTTTTATTTTCCCTCTGAGCGTCTCCCTGCAGTCTGGAACGTGGGCCTAGGACCGGCATCTGAGGAACCCCCGGCCCCGTCTCTAGTGTCCCCAGAAGGGTTCGTGGGCTCGCCCGTCCCCTGGTTCACAGGGAGGGGGCCTCCCTGTTTCAGATGCCCCTGTACGGGAAATGGAGATCCAGGTTTCACTTCATCTTTCTCAGGCCCCTTCGTGTCCTGTCCTGGGGCCGGAGCAGGAGAGAGGCCTTCACCCTCAGCCTTGCTGCCTCTCCACCAACAGTTTGGGGGCGGGGTGGGCCCTGAGTCCCGAGCACTCTGGGGAAGGCTGAAGCGCGTTAGTGCGGTGAGCAGGGTTAGGAAGCCGCCGCCTGTCTCCCAGGCAGCCCCTGGCCGGGCGGGGGCGCTGGCGCGGCCCTCACAGCTTCCCCTCGTCCAGCAGCTTCCGGAGCCCGTCACAGATCTTGGTGCGGTGCTGAGCGAACTCGGGCCCGTAGAGGGCAGCGAGCAGGCCGGGGTCCGAGAAGTGATCGAACACATGGCGGATGCGGCCGTGGGACTTGGGCGTGAGGTGGTGTTCCACCAGCGCCAGCAGCGTGTCCCGGCACTCGGTCAGCAGGCCGGCCAGCACGGCCGCCTCGAAGGTGAAGTCCACCTCGCCGAAGCTGAGCGCGGTCATGGCGCTCTGCTGCAGCTTCTGGCGGAAGCGGGCGGCCAGGGCCAGCTCGGGGGCCCCGAAGCTGCCGTTGCGGTGCAGCACGGCCACCTTGACGGCCACCTTGACCAAGTCCTTGATGACCCGCTGCGCCTGGGCCCGGCTGCGCGTGTACTCCTTGGACACCCGGTAGAGCTCGTCCAGCACCTCGCTGCTGGTCTCGTCGATGAAGAGATGAGCCACAGACCGACCTGCCATCTTGCTCAGTAGCTTCTTCTCCGCCTGCAGGGCCAGGTTCTTCGAGCTGAAGGACTCCATGCTTCCTGGGGAGGGAGGGCGGGAGAAGGCCGCAGTCTCCTCAGGCGGCTTTGGCCCTTTCTCCCGGGGCCCCTCCCTCTGCTGCGCCTCGCTCCTGCTCCCCTCTCGTGCTGCCGCGGCCGTACCCCCACGGAGCCCCGGGGAGTGCCAGCTTTGGGGGGGGACGGGACGCCCCGCGGCCGCCGCGGTGCCCCCGCCCCACTCGCTCTCACGTCACCTCCCACGGCTGAGGGACGGAAGCCTCACCGAAGCTGCTTCGGAGAGAGCCCCGACATCAAACCGCTCTCGGCCCCAGGAACCCGCGTCGCCCAGGGTGCCGTGCTGCCCTCGAGCACGAGGCGAGGGGCCCGGGAGTCTGCGCGCCGAGGGCTCGGGCCCCACTTTGCATGGAGAAGGCCTGACGCTCAGAGGAACGAAGCCGGTCGGCCAGTCACAGGAGCGAAGTGGGCTTTGAGCCCGGTGACCCGGGGCAACCTCCCCACAGGTCCTGGGGCGTGCGTCGGAGCGCCGAGCCGGCAGCCCGGGTCTGCTGGGGCCGCGGGGGACCCCGGGGGGCCGCGGGCCACCATGGTCTCAGCCTGTGGTTCTGGTTGTTTTGCTTCTGACTCCCCGCCCGACTGCAGGATGTGGCTGTGACCGCAGGTGAGGCGCAACCTCGCCCTGTCCCCCAAACCCGAAGAGGCTGGGGTGGGTGAGCTGAGGGGTTTCCTTCCTTCCACAGCTGAATCAGGCCAGCGCGAAGCTGGAAGCTTCTGGACTGTTCTGGCCCGACTGCCTGGGGCTTTCTGGACTGCTCAGTGCCGGAAGGGGAGATTGCTCCATGTGAGCCTTTCTTCCTCCTCGGGCTTCCTGTTGCCCTGCTGTGCCCCCTTCTCTCGCCTGGGCTGGGCTGGCCTGGCCTCCCCTCTCCCACTCGTCTCCCACTCTCTGCCGGGGGCCTGCCTGGACCCCCTGCCCCCACGTTCCCTCTGGCTTTTGCCTGCGCGTCTCCTGAGACTGCCTGGCACCTCACTCCTGTCATGCCATGTGCCGCCACCCCCCCACCCCCACCAAACGAGGCTTTGGGAGGCAGCTCAGCGCCCAGGGAGCCCAGGGAAAGGGAGCTGGACTGGACCTGTCACGGGGGACCCCGAAGGGCCCGTGGGGGGGTCTCGGCGCGGAAGGCCAGGCCCGAACTGGGCTGCTCTGCTTGCGCCTGGCCCACCCGCGCGCCTCGCGCCTCACCTGCGGCGGGCGGTGGGTGCAGCCTGCGGGC